AGAATTTATCTAATGGTTTCAAATGTTTCCCGTTTTATTTACCAAATCTAAAAAATGACTGACACAGGGTAGCTCAGTTAGCTTAATAACTTCATGTTGACGGATATAAAATATTACTATGTTTAGTCCAGCTCAGCTTGACTATTCTTCCCATTTTAAAACCCAAGTGATCTGAAAAGGAATATAAAATGTTCTACAGAGAAAATACCATTAAACAAACAAAACTTTGCTGTTTGTTGCCACAGAAGGAAGTACAAGGTAACTTCTCATATTGATAGATTAATAGGTGACTGTTCTTAGGTAAAATACTACCACAGGTATTTGCAACTCTAATCCTACAAGTCAACCTGGTTACCTTTTGAAAATACTTCCTGCCGGGTGTGGTGGTTCATGCCTGTAATCCCAGCACTTTGGGAGGCTGAGGTGAGAGGACTGCCTGAGCCCACGGGTTCGAGACCAGCCTGGGTGAACTGGCGAGACCTCGTCTCTACGATAAACCAAAAAATTAGCTGGGCGTGGTGGTGCACGCTTGTAGTTTCAGCTACTTGGAAGGCTGAGGCAGAAAGATCGTCTGAACCCAGCAGATCAGGGCTGGCCATGAGAATGCACTGCATTCCAGCTGGGGTGACAGAGACTCCAAATCAAAAAGAAAAGAAAAGAAAAGACTTCCTCATTACAGAAATAATAAATTATGTTTTATTAAAGTAGTTTATATTAGATTATCCAACTTTATTTTGAGATCACGTGGTAAAGAAAGACCTATACCAAAAATCATCAGGTGTATGAGAATGGCTGAGATGTTAAGCAATACAATGGCAATTGGTAGGCCACAAAGGGGGAGGGGCATAACAGAGTCAGTCATTCTCTTTCTTTCCTTAACCAGAGATAAAATTAGCATAAAAAGGAGGTCTGCCTCAAATTCTTTCCTTGTATGTTAATTTGTAAAACATGAAAAATGCTACAATTAAGACTTAGAAATGGAATTTCTTAAACACAGCCAATTATATTAAAAATCATGACTTTTTCAGAGAATGAAAGTTAAAAATAAAGAGTAGAGAATGGAGAAAAGAATATAGGATTAAAAGATTTTCTAATTATGGGTCTCATCCTCACATCCAATAATCCAACCACATAAGTTCACTTCATGGCAAAACTATCAAGGCCATCATAATCTCTATTAAAAGAAGAAAAATAAAACCTCTTGATTCTAAATTGTCTCTCTAGTAGGACACATAGGGAGTCAAAAACCAAAATAACCATCACTGAAATACCGAACCTCTATGTAACAGGAAAAATCAATATATTGGTATGGTATCTCACTTGGTTATTAGCAGTTCTAAAGAACATTCTTGCCACTATGCTAAGATGTGTAGTACAGTTTCATGGCAAGGCAATAACTGAAATGCAAAGCAAGGCAAACCAATGAAGTTGAATATTCACAGTCCATTGCCTGTTCATGAAGGCTTGTATAACTGGAAAACTGCCATGTTCATCAGAAGGGTTGGTTCTTCTTACCCTCGTTACTCTCAAGTATTAGTTTTACACGAGACATTTCTTATTCACCAGCCTGCATCCCATGATTTACTACTGAGTAGTTAAATGATAGTCAAACAAGGTAGGGAGAAGGTGAAGAATGATACAATAAAGATACACACTATGAAATAGTAAATATCTTTAAAAGTCAGCCCAAATGAATCTTTAAAAAGTTGTTTCTGCCAAAACCAAGCATGAAACCTACAACTTATACAAATCAATTTACCAATAATTACTCGGCCAGTAAAGTACTGTGTTTAAGCACATAAGTAAAATAACATTTAACTCCAGTGTCACTGACATATTTGGTTCTCATTTACATTTTAGTCATACTCAACACTGATTAGGCACATAGCATTAAGTTTTTAAAATTAATGAATTGTTTAAAAGATTATGATTAGATCTGTAACTATTATATCCTCCTTTTTGGAGATTTCAGTCATCACAGTGAGGTTAGATCAAGTTATTGGTCAAATACCTGGACACAGAAAGAAAAGCAAAGAAACTGATTAACAAGTACACTTTTAATTTGCCTTGGGATAATATATAATAAAGGAGAGAGACTAGAAGCATAAAATTTCAGAGTGGAAAATGACCTCAGAGATCCTCTCTAATTCAGTGGGTCTACAATCTGTGGGTCCCTAGAGTTTCTGCAAGAGGTCTGTAATTCCATGGGCACATTAACATTTTCTCTATCTATGGAATTTATTCAATTAATAGGTAGCCTCACAATTCCCTACCCATGCCACATTTTAAAATTACAAATCCTTTTACTTAAAAAGACTGAGAACTATTAATCTAGTCTTACTGTCTCATTTTTCAGATGAGGAACCCGAAACTCAGAGAAAGAAATTGTCAAGGTAACAGCAGAGCTGTTATCCAAGTGAACTTAGACTTACATATAGTGTTCTTTCTGGATATTCTATATAATATACATTTAATTTGTACCTGGGTAGAGAAATTAAATCTCTCCTTTGTGTTTCAGTTTCTAGTGGCTCCCTCTGGTATTCTCCTAAATGTAAAAGTGAGATCCCTGCTGGTTAAGAACCTTTAGTCTTGGGGATCAACAACCCTTTCTACTTGGGTAGTGGTTACACCTTTTGACAAACGTCATGTCCTAAATCTAGTAGTTACAAAAGGTGAAGCTAAAGAACACAGGTGAATCAAAAGAAAACTGAGCTACAGTGTCTGCCACCTTTCAGTCTTGTTTCTTTGTGAAGATTTTCCTAACTAAAATCTACACTATTCTTTCCCTTTTCTAAACTTCTATTGTAATCATAGTTCAACCCCAGAAAGGTAAACATTTACATGTTCTCCAATTATCTCGTATAGTATGTCTGCCTAACTGGATAAAACAGGCAGGAATCAGATCTTCGATTTAAAAATATTTCCAACTTTGATTAAGGACTTAACAGATAACTGTTGACTTACAGAGTCAAGGAAGTAAAATTTTATAAAAGACTTAAAAACATACAGGGATCAATAATCTGGTATGGGTAGGACACAGAAAAGATAATTATATCTTTTCTGAAAAATGGCTAAAAAAAGATAAAATTTGTTTTTATCCTTTCCATCTACTCTTGGCAAATAATGCCACATAATTATTTTCTTTTCACATTTTCATCAGTGCATCATTTTTCAAAAGCAATTAATATCAGTCTCTCAAATAACAGCATAAATAAGAATTTATAGGCATAGTGCAAATCCCATAAGCTTTATCTTAACTAGCCCCCTAGACTTAAGGAAACAAAACTGAATAATTTACAAAGTCAACCAATGAGAAGATGATCATTTGGGCAAATCGATTTTCCTGTTGTAGTAGTACACAGCATGGAAGTTAAAAAAGCATGAACTCTGGGATCCAATTTTGATTTGCCACTTACTAGCTATGACACCCTGAACAAGTTCTCTGCACTTGTTTTCTTCTTGATCTATAAAATGGAGGAAAATATATATTTTGTAGGGTTCTCAGGAAGATTAAAGGAGAAAATGCACATAAAGTACCTGCACATGCCAGTTACTTGACATTAGTTCCCTGTTCCTCCCTCATTTGGCACTTTTCTTTCATTTCTCTGGTTTCTTCCGAAATCAAATTCAAAAAAGTATTCCTCTTACTTTTTTCCCACTAGCTTTCATTCCATCTCTATTTTTCTCTTGTCCCTCTCAAAATCTGTCTTGGTCTTTTCCTTTCCGCCTTTTAAACTCTTTCAAGCTGTTTCCAAATCCTGCAATGAATAACTATTTTTAATTAAACTTACTGATCTCGTTAATCTAGTCAATAAAACCCCTTCCCCAAAGATCAGAGGAAATAAGGCAAACTGAAAGAAGCACACTCCATAAGTGGATTAAGTTCTTGAGCAAGGCAATACTCCTTATTTACTCTTCCCATGTAAAATCCAGAATTCCTCCCCCATAGACCCCTATATCAATCCCAAGATAATTATACTCCTGACTTAAAATAAAGTCCTCTGCATCTTGTACTCTGAACATCCCAGTTGTATCTAAGTTGGGTGAATGTATCATGCTGTCTCTTACTTAAATCACTTTACATAGATATATACACTTCATCGTCTCACAGTAACCCAAGTTGAAAAAGTCACTTTGGCTTCTCATGAATGTATATGCAAGCGTACTAAAAAGAACTATATCGTCTCATTAATGAACATGTTGTCTCAGGTTCTCTGAATATATTTTACCCAGAGAAGCTAGTAGGCAAAGAGAATGAAACAAAGTCCGATAGGAAAAATTCCTGCCTTCACATTTTTGATCAATCGGGGCTTTAGCTGCAACTGCGCTGGGAGTAGAGATGGGTGCCATCAGAGCACAAAACTGAGCAGACCTCACTTCTTACCCTGTCCCTCCCTGAATTTTTACCTTGTCCATTACCAACAAATTTTTTACCCTCCAGTGCACGTTTGATAGTACATAGCTCTATTCCTCAACTAGCAAGTATGTTATCCAAATTCAGAGACACAACCGAGGAACTAACATGAAAACTACCTTTCCTCAATAAATCAGAGGCTGCTAGTTAAGCCTCAAGAGCCTATGAAAAAAATACCTAAGTGGTATTACTCAGTCACCAATCTAAAGAGAGAACTTTGACTCAAGGTATAAATGAAACTGTAATTATATAAATATATTTATAAATATTTATACAATTATATACTTATACATAAGCACTTACACAGACTTAGAAAAAATGTAAGAACATTAATTCAAAAGGACTCACTGAAGAATAAACAGAATTTTCCATGATTTCCTTGAGGAGATACATAACTCATTCTTAAGGGAGGGTCCCTCAAAATCCAACCATTAGAAATGATATTCTATAACTGTGTACTAGCAACATATAGCATCTTTTTCCCCCCAGCCCCCAGTCGCCAAGAGAGCAATCTTCAAGTAGATGGTTCGGTCTCTGAGCAATAGCAATTTATGGTCCTCGAGAAGAATCAATCTAAATCCCCAACTGACAAAATAGGTCCATTCTATATTATGATTTCACAATAAGTTAAAGTTCTGATTTCTGCCATTACTGTATCTTCAGAGGACTCTATTTCAGCTCAAAATAAGAATTGCGCATTGAGTAAAGCTGATACGTAAGTAGCACTATATAGATTCAAAATGGCCTCTTCTAAATAATACTGAAAAAGCTTTCATCAACTACAATTTGAATGTGGCTTTTGTTGGCAGAAAAAACCTACAGCATCTGAAGATTACTGATAATATCCACCACTCCCATTACTAAATGCTGTCTTATGAATTGAGTTTAAAGTTCTTCCCCTGAGAGAGGCTTTCAGTTTTGATATCTTCTGAAAGAAAACAGCATGAGGAATTATGAGCATTCAGTAACCAGAGCCTTTCAAAGACTATTCTAACCAGGGGTAAAAAAATTAATCATTATTTCTAACCAAAGGAACATGGTCAGCTGCATGTTTTTCTTTTCCCCAAGGACATACCTAAGTATGCCTTAAAGAACAACGGTCAATCAATAACCATGGTAGGTAGAATTACAAGACATTTGTATTGCATGATTATTGACTGGCTGCCCTCCTACAGATCATTGTGGACTCAGACAAGGGAGGAGGCCACAGGAACTAAAATGCTGTACTGGCAAAAACAGCAAGCACCTTTCTATCCTAGTCACCACAATATGCTCACTTAATGTCCTTTCTAGGACTAGCAGGACTAATACAATTAACAGAATAATAATGAACAAAACTGTTTCACACTAGGACATCAAAGGCCACCCCATGCTATACACCCTACATTTAACACTCATTCTGCCAATAATGCATATCATGGAAATAACTCTTGTAGCTGGGAAGATAGGAATCCTTTGAAAATTTTTTAAATATGATGAGCAATAGTTATAAGGGATGCCTGTTCCATGTAAACAAAAGCCTGGGTGTTTTGTTACACAGTACTTCCTACACGAAGAACAAAATAAAACACGTGTTAAAGAATTTCTTCTTTAAAAATGGAACTTACAAAAAAGGGAGGTTTGTCCTTCTTCTGAATCTAGTCATTCCTTTGCCAACGGAGTCTGGGGAGTAACATTAACATCTGATCCCAAAAAAGTGCCGTGCAAGAGACCACTTACTGGAACACACATTTCCTGCTGCTAGTACTAGGAGAGGTCTTATCCTTACACTTTCATTTGGTCACCAGATTAAGTAAAGAAGAAAGTGGAGGAAAAAAAGGAAAACAAGAGAGGAAAAGAAAAAAAAAGAAAGAGGGGAGATTAATTACAGGTGAGAACAAGAAAATAAGATTAAGAGAAGGGAGGTGACTTGCTTGCCCAACTTTGGCTCTGTGGTCCTATGAGCCAAAATGCATACTTAGTGACATGGTATCTCACAGGAAAAGGGATAAAAGGGGTAAGCTGAGAGAGGTCAGGCCATGGTGTTAATTTCTTTCCTGTACAAAGACAGTCTCTTGAGGACAAAGGCCTGCCTCTTGTAATGTAATGTCATAGTCCAGATGAGACAGTTTTCTGCGAGGAAAGTTGGTGAGAAGTTCAAAACGTTCATTTGGATATCCTTTAGATTGGACGTGCTTCACCAAAGCCTATGAAAAACAAGAGAAAGACAAAGCTGTTAGATGGAAATAAAAGAGCATATTCATGAATGAAATATGTAACATTCTTTTTTGCCATATTAGAAAAGATAGTAAGTGTAAGTTAACTGAAGATAACTCTAAGTGTAAGATAACTGAAATTTACCCTTGTGGAAGGGCCAATATAACCCTTTGGATGGGGGAGATGATAAATCTGTATTCAATAAATTAGAGCCATTAAGTGACATTGAAATATACAGGGTTATCATTATCTCACCAATTAACAAACTCAATCACTATTTACAAAATTACTGTTCCCATTTTTAAACATTTTATTTGATCAGTTTTCCTTTAATTAAGGAAGATATGTCCTTCACTCTACCTATGGCCAATTCTGCCACCTGTGCACTGAATCCCTTCTTGCCTTCTTATATACCATATCATTACAAAATATTCCACTGTATAAGTTTCTCCAACATCCCCTTCTCTACAGATGCTTCCATCAGACCTCAACATGCTCAGTCTCCAGTAACCTTTTCCTCTTTCACTACTACCTATTTTCCCATCTAGTTTCATAACCAAACTTCTCAAAAAAAAAAGTGATAAACAATTGCTTTTTCCATTGTGTCATCTCTATTCCTTTCCAAGCACTATGCCAGGGAGATAGTCTGAGATTAGCACCAGCAACCAGATCCTATTTGTATTTCTATAATACAGTCTTCAAGAATCAGCAGAATTATCTCCAGCCACAGCGAATGATCAGGTGTGTCCGACTCAAGGGGACTCATTCACAGGCTAAGCTAAGCTAGTCAGACTCATTCTCATTTCCAGCATGGAAAGCAGATTTAATCAAGCAGAAGAATCTCAGAACTTGAAGACCAAAAACATGAAATTAATCTTATCTGTAAAAACATAGAAAGAAAACTCAGAAGAAAGAAAAAAGCTTCCAAGAGATGTGCAATTATATCAAGAGGTCAAACCTATGCCTGACTAGTATCCCAGAAGAAGAAAGGGAAATGGAGAACACACTGGAGCACGTATTCCAGGAGGTTATCCAAGAAAACTTTCCGCATCTCACTAGAGATGTGACCACACAAACACAAGAGATACAGAGAACCCCCACAAGGCATCCAATGAGAAGACCAATCCCCAGGCACGTAGTAATTTACCTACACAAAGTAGGCACAAAAAAGTCCCAGACGGGCTCGGTGGCTCAGCCTGTAATCCCACACTTTGGGAGGCCGAGGTGAGTGGATTGCCTGCGCCCGCTGGTTCAAGACCCACCTGGGCAACTTGGCGAGACCTCATCTCTACAATAAATCAAAAAATTAGCTGGGCGTGGTAGCGCGCACCTGCAGTTCCAGTTACTTGGAAGGCTGAGGCAGAAGGATCGCCAGAGCCCAGTAGGTCGAGGCTGCAGTGGCCGGGAGTGGCCACCGTACTCCAGTCTGGGCAACAGAGTGAGACTCCAACTTAGAAAAAAAAAAAAAGTCCTAAAGGCAGCAAGAGAGAAAAATCAGACTACCTACCAGGAAAAACCAATCAGAATAGCAGCAGACCTACTGGCAGAAACACTACAAGCTAGAAAGGACTGGAGACCAATATTCAAAGTCCTCAAAGATAAACAATTTCAATGAAGAATTTCCTACCTAGACAAGCTCAGCTTCATCAGCAATGGAGAATTAAAATCCTTCCCAGACATCCAATCCCTAAGAGATTATGCAGTTTCCAGACCAGTTTAATAGGAGACACTTTAAAAGATATTAAGCACAGAAGAAAGAAAAAAAAGAATGACCACACACTTCCTATGAGAACAGCAGAACACAGAATCAACAGACAATACATCCCAACAGCAAACCTGAAAACACACACATACATCAACCCCAAAGCTAAAAGAAAGCAAAGAAAAAGCTTTATAAGAGCCTCATGACAGGGATAAACAATCACATTTCAATAATCAGCCTTAGCCGGGCTCGGTGGCTCAGCCTGTAATCCTAGTACTTTGGGAGGCTGAAGTGAGTGGATTGCCTGAGTCCGTGGGTCCGAGACCCGCCTGGGCAACTTGGCGAGACCTCATTTCTACAATAAATCAAAAAATTAGCTGGGCGTGATAGTGTGTGCCTGTAGTTCCAGTTACTTGGAAGGCTGAGACAGAAGGATCGCCGGATCCCTGCAGGTTGAGGCTGCAGTGACCAGGAGCAGCCACTGCACTCCAATCTGGGTGACAGAGTGAGACTCCAACTCAAAAAAAAAAAAAATCAGGCTTAATGAGAAAGGACTAAATGCACCATTGAAAAGATGGCAAACTAGATTAAAAAAAAACATGATCCAATTATTTGTTGCATCCAGGAAACTCAACTCATCACAAGGGATGCATACAGACTCAAAGTTAAAGGATGGAAAGTGAGTTTCCAGGCAAATGGATCACAAAAGAAGGCAGGAGTTGCGATCTTAATATCAGACAAAACAATCTTTAAGCTATCCAAAATTTAAAAATATACAAAAGGACACTACATAATGATAAAAGGTTCAATCCATCAACAAGAAATATCAATCCTAAACATATATACACCCAACACAGAAGCACCAGCATTTATAAAGCAACTACTAAGTAAACTAAAAAAAGACATTTATTCTAACATTATTACAGCTGGGGACTTAAATATCTCACTAACAACACTAGATAGATCATCAAGGCAAAAAAAAAAAAAAATCAACAAAGTGATCCGAAACCTCAACTTGACACTCGACCAAATGGACTTAATAGATATCTACAGAATATTCCACCCAACAATCACAGAATATACATTCTACTCACTACTACATGGAATGTACTCTCCAAGATTGATCACATCCTCCACCATAAATCAAGCATAAACAAATTCCATAAGGTTGAAATATTGCCATGCACCTTCTCAGACCACAGTGGAATAAAAGTAAATAAATATCAACACCAACACAATTTCTCCAAAACCCACAAAGACATGGACACTAAACAGCATGATGCTGAACAACTACTGGGTCAACACTGAAATCAAAACAGAAATTAAAAGATATCTGGAAACAAATGAAAATGAAGAAACATCTTACCAAAACCTCTGTGATACCACAAAAACAGTTCTAAGAGGGGAATTTATATCTCTGCAAACACACATCAAGAAAATGGAAAGGTCACAAGTTAACAGCCTAACAAATCACCTAAGGGGGCTGAAAAGACAAGACCACCAAAACCCTAACTTTAGCAGAAGAATCCAGATTACCAAAGTAAAAGCCCAAATATAGGACACAGAAGACAAAAATATCATAGAAAAAAAAAAATCAACAAAATAAAAAGCTGGTTCTTTGAAAGATTGGCAAGATTGATGACCCCTGGCCAGAATGACCAAGAAAAAAAGACAAAAAGCTCAAATAAACACAATCAGAAATGCAAAAGATCAAATCACAACTGACCTCGAAGAAATACAGAAGATTATCAAAGATTATTATGCACACCTGTATGGAAACAAACTTGATAACCTAAATGAAATGAAGGACTTTCTAACATCACACAACCTCCCAAGGTTGAAATAAGAAGACACTGAGACACTAAATAGACCAATAACAACCAAGAAAATTGACTCTGTCATAAGAAAACTACCTACAAAAAAAGCGCCCTGGACAGGACAGGTTTCCAGCAGAATTCTACAAAAGTATAAGGAGGAGCTGATACCAATCCTATTGAAAGTATTTCAGGCAATTGAGAAAGATGGAATTCTCCCCAAATCATTTTACAAAGTTAACATCACACTGACATCTAAATCAGGTAAAGATTCAACAACAACAACAAAAAACTACAGGCCAATATCCCTAATGAACATAGATGCAAAGATTCTCAACAACATTCTAGCAAATCGGATCCAACAACACATCTCAAAAATCATCCACTATGACCAAGTAGGCTTCATCCTCAGGATGCAGGGCTGGTCCAACAGCCACAAGACCATAAATGTAATTAAATACATCAACAGATGTAAAAACAAGAACCACAGTGCAAGCAGGTTTTTGACAGGTTTTCTTGGATTTTCAAGCTATAGGATCATATCAGCAAAGAAGGATAACTTAACTTTCCACTTTGGCAAAGTCTTGGGGTACAAAATAAATGTGCAAAAGACAGTCACATTCTTATACTCCAACAAGCAGGCAGAGAACCAAATAAACAGCAAAATCTCATTCACAATGACCACAAAAAAATATGAAATACCTTGGCATCTTCCTAACCAGAGAAGTGAAAGACCTTTACAATGAAAACTACAAACACCTGCCAAGAAATCCAAGACACAAACAAACAGAAAAATATTCCATGCTCATGGATAGGAAGAATCAACACTGCTAAGATGTCCATCCTACCAAAGGCAATCTACAGATTCAACGCAATACCCGTTAAATTACCAACATCATTATCTCAGATCTGGAAATGACAATACAGATGAAAACATAAATGACCACGAACAGCCAAAACAATCCTTAATAAAAGAAACAAAGCCAGAAGTATCACACTTCCAGACTCCAAACTTTACTATAAGGCTGTAATAATCAAAATAGCCTGGTATCGGTACAAGAACAGGTATACAGACCAATGGAACAAGATAACGATTCCGGAAACAAACCTCAATTTCTCAATCAATTCTTTTTTTGTTTTGAGTCAGAGTCTCACTCTGTCCACCCAGGCTGGAGCACAGTGGCACGCTCATGGCCACTGCAGCCTTGACCTGCTGGGCTCAGGCGATCCTTCCACCTCAGTCTTCCTAGTAGCTGAAACAACAGGTGCATGCCACCATGCCCGGCTAATTTTTTTTAAATTTATTGTAGAGATGAGGTCTCGCCAAGTTGCCCAGGCTGATATTGAACCTGTGGGCTCAGGCAATCCTCTCACCTCAGCCTTCCAAAGTGCTGGGATTACAGGCATGAATCACTGTGCCTGGTCCCAATTCAACTTTGACAAATCCTCCAACAACCACCACTGGGAAGAGGAGAACCTATTTGGCAAATAGTGCTGGGAAAACTGGCTGGTCACATGCAGAAGATTTAAACAGGATGCCTACCTATCACCATACACAAAAATCAACTATAAATGGATCAAAGACCTAAACATAAAAGTTCAAACCATGAGAACCTTACAAAATGTGTGAGACACCCTTATGAAAATTGGAACTGGCAACCAATTCCTGACCAAAAAAACCCTAAGTGCCCAGGCCATAAGACATAAGATAGACAAGTGAGACTTCATCAAACTGAAAAGCTTCTGCAAAGCAAAAGAAACTATCAAGAGAGCAGGGAGACACAGAATGGGGAAAAATATTTGCCAACTGAATATCTGACAAAGGCCTAACATCCAGGATCTACACAGAACTCAAACATGCCAAGAGGAAAAAAAGTCCCAATAAAAAGTGGGCAAGACATGAATAGACACTTCTCAAAAGAAGATATACGGGCAGCCAATAGATACATGAAAAAGTGCTCAGCCTCGCTAAAATGCAAATCAAAACCACACTGAGATACCACCTAACCCTAGTAAGAATGGCCATCATCAAGAAAACAAATAACAACAGATGATGGCAAGGATGCAGAGAAAAAGGAACACTTTATTGCTGGTGGGAATGCAAGCTAACGCAATTGTTTTGGAAAACAGTGTGGCAATTTCTGAAAGAACTAGAAAATGACCTTCCATATGACCCAGCAATCCCTCTTCTGGGAATATACCCAGAGGAACTCAAATCATTCTATAAAAAAGATACCTGCACACACCTGTTTATTGCAGCACTATTCACAATAGCAAAAACATGGAAACAACCATGCTGCCCACTGAAACTGGACTAGATTTTTAAAAAGTGGTACATATACACAATGAAATATTATGCAGCCATAAAGAAGGACAAACATATGGACTTCACAGCAACTTGGATGGATTTAGAGTCTATCATAATCAGTGATTATCACAGAAACAAAGGAAAGAGTACCATTTGTTCTCACTTATAAGTGAAATATGAACAATAACCATAATACTTTTAAGAAAGGGATTGGCAGTAGGATGGGGATGGCAGGGGAGACATTTTTTGATGAATAAGCATACCTGATCTCAAACCAGGCAAAGTGGGGACCAAAGAGAGGTCCGAACTTTACCTGTATGATGACTATTTGAAAAGCTAATCCTGAATTGTACCCCACATTAAAAAAAAAAAAAAAAAAGGCTAGGCACAGTGGCTCAAGCCTATAAACCCAGCATTTTGGAAGGTAGAGGCAAGAGGATTGCCTGAGCTCAGGTTGCTCAAGACCAGCCTAGGCAACTTGGCGAGACCGCGTCTCTACAATTAAAAAAAATATTAGCCAGGCATGGTGGTACATGCCTGTGGTTCCAGCTACTTGAAAGGCTGAGGTGGAAGGATCACTGGAGTCCAGTAGGTTGAGGCTGCGGTGGCCGTGAGCGTGCCATTGCACTCCAGCCTGGACAACAGAGTGAGACTTCGACTCAAAAACAAAAAACAAACAAAAAAAGAAAACAAAAACTACAAAAAAAAAAGAAAGTTAAAATAAGCACAAAATTAGGCTTCTTGCATCAAACAGCAAAGTCATGAATGCAGAGGAAAAGTTTTTGAAGGAAATTTAAAAGTGTGATTCCAGTGAACACACAAATGATAAGAAAGTAAAAACAGTTTTATGGCTGATATGGCAAAAGTTTGAGTGGTCTGCAGAGAGGATAAAACCAATTATAACATCTCTTAAGCCGAAGTTTAACACAGAGCAAGACCCTAACTCTTCAATTCTATGAAAGCCGATAGAGGTGAGGAAGCTGTAGAAGAAAAGTTGGAAGCTAGCTGAGGTTGGCTCATAAAGTTTAAAGAAAGAAGCTGTCTCCATAACACTAAAGTGAAAAATGAGACAGCAAGTGCTGATATAGAAGCTGCATCAAGTTATCTAGATCTAGTTAAGAAAACCAATAAAGGTGGCTACACTAAACAACAGATTTCACATATATGAAACAGTCTTCTACTAGAAGATGCCACCAAGTATTTTCACAGCTAGAGAGAAGTCAATGCCTGGCTTCAAAACTTTAAAGGACAGATTGACTTTAATGCAGCTGGTGACTTTTAAGTCAAGCCAACACTCATTTAACATTTAGGAAATCCTAGGGCCCTTAAGAACCACGTTAAATCTACTCTACCTGTGCTCTAGAAATGGAACAACAAAGCCTGGATGACAGCACATCTGTTTACAGTATTGTTTACTGAATATTTTAAGCCCACAGTTGAGACCTACTACTCAGAAAAAAAGATTCCTTTCAACACATTACTGCTGATTGATAAGACACCTAGTCACCCAAGAGGTCTGATAAAAATGTACAAGGAGATGAATGTTGTTTTCATGCCTATTAATACAACATCTATTCTGCAGCCCATGGATGAAGGAGTTATTTCAACTTTTAAGTCTCATTATTTAAGATATTATATTTCAAGTCTGGGTATGGTGGCTCATGCCTGAAATCCCACCCAGCACTTTTGGAGGCCGAGGTGGAAGGACTGCTTGAGTCCAGGAGTTTGAAACAAGCCTGGGAACAGAGATATCTTCTCTGCACAAAAAATTTAAAAATTAGTCAGGCATGTTGATGCATGCCTGTACTCCCAGCTACCCGAGAGGCTGAGGTGTGAGGTTCACCTAAGCCAAGAAGGTCAAGGCTGTAGTAAGCTGTAATGGTGCCACCGCACCCCACCCTGACTCCAAAAAAAAGGAATTACATAAGTCTACAACTGCCATACATAGAGATTCCTCAGATGGACCTGGGAAAAGTAAATCCAAAACCTTTTTTAAAAAGAGTCCTGATTCTAGATGCCATTAAGAACATTCACAGCCAGGTGCTCACGCCTGTAATCCCAGCACTTCGGGAGTTGAAGGCAAGAGAATTGCCTAAGTCCAGGGGTTCAAGATCAGCCCAGGCAACTTGGCGAGACCTCATCTCTACAGTAAATCAAAAAAATTAGCCAGTGTGGTGGTGCATGCCTGTGGTTCCAGCTACTTGGAAGGCTTAGGCAGAAGGATCACCTGAGCCCAGCAGGTCGAGGCTATGGTGGCTGAGTATGCCGCAGCACTCCAGTCTGGGCGACAGAGTAAAACTCCTACTCAAAAAAAAAAACATTAGGAATTGTGAACTTTCACAATTCGTTAACAGGAGTTGGAAGAAGTTGACTCCAACTCTCATGAATGACTTTGAGGGGTTCAAGACTTCAGTGGAGGAAGTTAAAACTGCAAATGTAGCAGAAACAGCAATAAAACTAGAATTAAGTAAAACCTGAAGATGTGACTGAATTACTGCAATCTGATGATCAAACTTGAACAGATAAAGAGTTGTCTCTGTGGACTAGCAAGGAAAGTGGCTTTCTGAGATGGAACTGACTCCTGGTGAAAATGCTTTGAGTACTGTTGACAAGAGGATTTAGAATATTACATAAACTTGATAGAGCAGCAGCAGGGTTTAAAAGGACTGACTCCAGTGTTATTTTGTTTTGTTATTTTTGAGACAAGTCTCAAATTCCTGGGCTCAAGCACTCCTCCAGCCTTGGCCTTCCAAAGTGCTGGGATTACAGGTGTAAGCCACCACACTCACCTTTCAAAACTCCGTCAAAACTCCAGTTTTGAAAAACTACGGTAGATAAAATGCTGTCAAACAGCAATATGTGCTAAAGAGAAATCTTTCATGAAAGGAGGAATCAAACAATGCAGCAAACTTCACTATTGTCTTATTTTAAGAAATTGCCACAGCCATCTCAATCTTCAGCAACTACCACCCTGATCACAGTCAGCAGTCATCCACATGGAGGCAAGAACCTCCTCCAGCAAAAAGATTGTGAATTGCTCAAGGCTCAGATGCTTGTCAGCATTTTTTAGCAGTAAACTAGAGTGTACACATTTTTTAAAAAACATAATGCTACAGAATAATGCTAAGATAACTTTCATATGCACGGGAAACCAAAAAAAAAAAAAAGGCATGTGACTGACATTATTGTAGTGGTCTGGAACAGAACCCAAAATATTTCCAAGGTATGCCTATACTTACTAGCAGTTTAGCTTGCTCTGGAAGAGTGATCTGTTCCCTTTTTCCATCTGGGTACCGTAACATCAGCTGTGCTTTTGGTCCTAAAGGGTAGGTTAAAAAAAAAACAAACACGGAAGCTTAAGATAGAAGATTCACTTAACAAGAGATAGGGAGGATCTCAATGTATTATTCAAGCTGATCTAGAACTCCTGGGCTCAAGCAATCCTCCTGCCTCAGCCTCCCAAGTACAGGAGTGTGCCACCACACCTGGCCTAATATTCAAGCTGTATAAAGTTTATAATGTAACTCACCATTTACATCTACCCCCTCCACTATTCCATCTGATTTTTCAGGTGACAGCTCCAGTATTTCTGAATCCACTGCTGGCAATCCTTGGTGGTTTGTGGCTGTTCCAGGCTCAGTTCTGGCTGGGGGCTCAGTAAGTGGCCTTCTGTTCTCCTCTTTTCTATGCCCCAAATCTTTGTGGGGAGACTTTCTGGACTTGGCAAGATTCTCTACTTCCTCTTCTTCATCGGAGCCACAAACGGATATGAACTCCTCACTGCCAGAAAAAAGTTCAGATTCAGATTCTTCATCTGAGCGGCTATCCTGTTTTGTTTGTGTTGAATCAAAATGTGTCTCTTGTAACGAGGCTCGGATGGCTGCTTCTAGCTGGCTGTCTTCACTTGCATCTATAAGACTCTCCTGTGAGATGCAGTCATAAAACACAGAGAAAAATCCAGTTAAACAAAAAAAAGTCAAGTCAAATGATATAAGAAATACAATATTCAACTAGCTATTATTATTTTCTAATGAATGTATCTCTTCTACTAAATTTTAAGCTATCTGAAGGCAAGGACTTTGTTTTACACAAATTAGAATGGATATTTTAAAAATAGAAATAAAAAACATAGCACCTAGCACACTGATGCTTCAAGCATAGGTTGCTTTTGTTTTATATAAAAATGAACAAAATCAGCCAGGCATGGTGGTTCACACCTATAATCCCAGCACTTTGGGAGGCTGAGGTAAAATGACTGCCTGAGCCCACGAGTTCAAAACCAGCCTGGGCAACTTGGCAAGACCTCATCTCTACAATAAATCAAAACATTAGCCGAGCATGGTGGCGCATGCCTGTAGTTCCAGCTACTTGGAAGGCTGAGACAGAAGGATCACCTGAGCCCAGTAGGTTGAGGCTGCGGTGGTGGTGAGCGTGCTACTGCACTCCAGCCTGGGCAAACAGAGTAAGAGCCCAACTCAAAAAAAAAGCACAAAAATCAAAAAACAGTTTATCCATGTCTAGCCTAGAAAAAGACAAGAATTAGACTAGGAATCCCAGCACTTTGGGAGGCCAAGGTGAGAGGACTGCTTGAGTTCCAGAGTTCAAGACCAGCCTGGTCAACATATAAGACCTGGTCTCTACAGAAAATTAAAAAATTAACCAGGTGTGGTAGCATGTGCCTGCAGTCCGAGTTACTCAGGAAGCTGAAATGGGAGGATCCCTAAGCCCAGGAGGTTAAAGCTGTGGTAAGCTGTGATCATGCCACTGCATTCCAGCCTGGACAAAAGAGTGAGACGCCCCACTCAAAAAGAAGACAAGAATTAAAGTTTTAAATTATGAGACCAAAACACTATTCCTTAAAATGATTAAACAATAGAGAAGAACATCTACCTTGCTCACCACTGTATTCTTCAACTAGCACTGCATGGTATATAGAAGGATAATAAATAACTTTAAGTTATCATTTCTCAAGAACGGATTTCTAACATTCAAAACAATATAGCATACAATAAACAGGGAAAATAAGTAACTAAATTCTCCCAAGCTTAATTATAATTAATGTTTTCATTATGATAATGAGAAATGCATATTTCTACAGTTTTCCCCTTGATAATGTCACAGATTTCACATAACTTAGTAAGTCACAAAATATGGATTATTTCAATGAAACTTGTTTAGAATCTGACTGAAACATACTATAGAGGAAAAAATTTGTTAGAAAATCTAAAGTTGAACACTGGATATCTCATGATATTAATGAATTACTGCTAATTTTTAAGGGATACCAATGGCACTGTGATTATGTTTTTAAAAAATAAAAGAGACTTTACCTTCTAAAGATACATGCCAAAGTATTTGTGAATAAAACAATTCTGAGATTTGCTTTTAAATAATGTGGGTATGGGGAGGGTTATAGGGGAAAAAAGACTGATCACCTGATGATAATTACTGAAAGAATGAATACATAGAGGCTCAATAAAACCCATCAACTTTTGAATATGCTTAAAATTTTCCACAACAAAAAGATAAACGGCCAGGTAGCCTGCCTGAGCCCAGGGGTTCAAGTCCAGTATAGACAACTTGGCAAGACCTCGCCTCTACAATAAAAAAAAATTAGCCAGGTGTGGTGACATGCATATGTAGTTTCAGTTATTTGGAAGACTGAGATGGAAGGATCGCCTGAGCCCAGCAGGCACTGCACTCCAGCCTGGGTGACAGAGTGAGACTCCAACACAAAAACAAAACAAATTAAAAAAAACATATGGGTTGCTAATAAAAAACTTTGAAAAACCTCATTTTAGCTTTTACTACCTGCTGACCATATAGCAAAAATTAAAGGAAAATTTAAAAATAAACTTAAGGCAAATTTATCAACCCCCAAAAGCAAGCAGATGTGCCCATGTGACATGCAATGGTTTAGGCAGACTGTAGATTTGTAACAATGACATTTTCCAGCATGTAGCTTGATTTTAAAAATTGCATCCATGGCAGACATTGCTAGGTTCCTATTCCAATACTCATTTCTCCTCTCATTTTTTACTTATAGAATCCTAATTAAGCTTATAAAAGAGAATACTGTCCAGCTAAGAAATTCTATTTACTAACTTATCTTGTAGCTAGAAAAAAATGTGTGGAGTTGAGCTAAAGCAGTAAAGAAAATTTGTAGAATTAGTGTTTATACACAGAATACACATTATACTCAGCACCACAGGGAACGTACTCTAAGATCGACCACATACTTGGCCATAAATCAAGCATAAACAAATTTCAAAAGATCGAAATTTTGTCATGCACCTTCTCAGACCACAGTGGAATAAAAATGAACATCAACACCAACAAGCTTCCCCACAAACCCACAAAGACATGGACACTAAACAGCATGATGCTAAACAACTCCTGGGTCAACAATGAAATCAAAACAGAGATCAAAAGATACCTGGAAACAAATGAAAATGAAGAGACATCTTACCAAAATCTCTGGGACGCCATGAAAGCAGTAATAAGAGGGGAATTCATATCCCTACAAACGCACATGAAGAAAATGGAAGGATCACAAATCAACAGCCTAACAAGTCACCTTAGGAAGCTGGAAAAGCAAGACCACCAAAACCCTAACTGAAGCAGAAGAATCCAGATCACCAAAATAAAAGCCCAAATTCAGGACATAGAAGACAAAAAGATAATACAAAAAATCAATGAAACCAAAAGCTGGTTCTTTGAAAGGATAAACAAGATCGATGGTCCCTTAGCTAGACTAACCAAGAAAAAAAGAGAAAATGCCCAAATAAATACAATCAGAAACACAAAAGATGAAGTCACATCTGACCCAGAAGAAATACAAAAGATCATTAGAGACTATTATGTACACTTATATGGAAACAAACTGGAAAAACTTAAGGAAATGATATCTCACAACCTGCCTAGGTTGAAACAAGAAGAAATCGAGACCCTAAATAGACAAATAACAATCAAGGAAATTGACTATGTAATAAGAAAACTACCTACAAAAAAAAAGTCCTGGACCAGATGGCTTTCCAGCAAAATTCTATAAGACATTTAAGGAGGAGCTGATACCTATCCTACTGAAAGTATTCCAGGCGATTGAGAAAGATGGAACCATCTCCAAATCATTCTATGAAGCTAACATCACATTGATACCCAAGCCAGATAAAGACCCAACAAAGAAAGAGAACTACAGGCCAATATCTTTGATAAACATAGATGCTAAAATTCTCAACAAGATCCTAGCAAACCGGATTCAACAACACATCTCAAAAATCATCCATCATGACCAAGTAGGCTTCATCCCTGGGACACAAGGCTGGTTCAACATTCACAAGACAATAAATGTAATTAAATATATCAGCAGATGTCAGAACAAAAACCACATGATTATATCATTAGATGCAGAAAAAGCTTTTGATAAAATCCAGCACCCCTTCCTGATAAAAACCCTTGAACACCTAGGCATACAAGGAACATACCTCAAAATAGCAAAAGTCATCTATAAGAAACCCACAGCTAGTATACTCCTAAACAGACAAAAATTGGAACCATTTCCCGTGAACACTGGAACAAGACAAGGATGCCCACTCTCTCCCCTCCTGTTCAATGTAGTATTCGAAGTCCTAGCTAGAGCAATCAGAAAAGAGAAGGCGACCAGGGGTATCCAAATAGGAAAAGAGGAAGTCAAGTTATCCCTCTTTGCTGATGACATGATTGTGTACCTTGAAAACCCAAGAGAAGCCAGGCTCAGTGGCTCAGCCTATAATCCTGTGCCTTGAGAAGCTGAGGTGAGTGGACTGCCTGAGCCCGCGGGATCGAGACCTGCCTGGGCAACTTGGCAAGACCTCATCTCTACAATAAATCAAAAAATCAGCAGGGTGTGGTAGTGCGCACCTGTAGTTCTGGCTACTCGGAAGGCTGAGGTAGAAGGATCGCCGGAGCCCAGCGGGTCGAGGCTGC